CCCTTCGCTTGTTAGCTTCAGTTGTGCCCTTTCTGGCGAATATGGTGCCCTTTCTTGCAAATATGGTGCTTTCTCTGGCAAGCATGTTGACAAGGGGGAAAAGACAGAAAACCTGACTCAACTGTGTCCCTATTTCATCATTTTGACCTTTTTTTGTTTTGGCTTTCTACTAAAACAATTTTGACCAATATAAGAGTTAGATTAACATGCTTGTTCAATTTTTTGATTTGAAATCGTGCAAGTCAGCCTATGAGCACTGAAAATTTTCCTTTTTTGGGTCCAAGAAATGGTCTAGTTTTGGAAAATAGAATAATTTTTGAGGAATTAGTCAACCTCATTAAAAATCCTCAAAACTGTTTTTGAAAATGGCCACTACTCGACCAACATAGAATTTACTCTTGAGATGCACAACCTCAGATTTGAACTTTGAATCATCTTGCATATGAATCTTCCAACGGAATAGGACAACTGAATTTGAATGAAAATGATCGTGAAGATGAGCCACTTCACATGGACAAGATAGCCGAGTTGAACAAGGATAAACCAATCAACATGGATGAGCCAAGCAGGCTGAAAATGATTGGGGCCAAACTTCTGGATGAAGTTGCCTACGTATCCCAAACATGGGAATCAGGCTTGATGTAGTTCCGGGTTGAGGTTCACTCGGGTGTTGACGCTCTCCTTTTACGCTCTAACTTTTGCCAAGGCCACCTTTCCGAGTTTTCAACCTTGCGAACTCTATTTTTCTTTTCTTTTCATTTCTTTTCCTCTTCTTTTCTTCAATTTTCTTTTTCTTCTCTTTTTCTTCTTTCCTTTTCATTTTCTTCTTTTTCTCTGCTCTAACTTTTTCCTGGGTCGCCCATCCGGGTTTTCGGTCCAACGAGCCTCTCCAGGGTAGAAAAGTGTAACTTGTCCATGTTGATCAGTTTTGAGATCTCTAAGCCATCTGAATCTAGGAGAATGGTTGTTGTTCGTTGATGATGTAGGAGCCCATCTAACCGGGTTTGAATTGCTTCTAGTGTTGTGGACAGGAACTCGATTGTCCTTCAACAAAATTTTCTTCTTCCAGCTGTTGGAATTTGGCTTTCTGGCCAATCTTCATTGGTTTGCGGAATGACCCATCTTTTGAATCTTTGAGCACATCTGACATTTTTGCCCCTAGTTCAAGGGCTACTTTTGATCTAGCTTCGCAAGCTTCCTTTGATAACATCTGATCTTCTTGATCTAACTTTCTTGCCCCTAGTTCAAGGGTTTCTTCAAATCTGGCATGGCGGGCCTCCTTTGATGTCATACGACCTTATTGCCCCTAGTTCATGGGATGCTTCAAATCTGGCCATGCAAGCCTCACATTGTGGTTAACCGTTGAACATTCTGAATTAAGGTTCAAGGTTTGAAAGCAAAGGGGTCGAGTCTTGAGGCCGAGAGTGATCCTATGTTGTACAATCTCAAGATCAATTCCACGCATGTCTTGGCAGGACCACGCAAAACATTTTTTGAAATCTTTTAAGAAAGCGACTAGTCGCTTGTGAAGACAGTGTAGAACCAATCTGGATCAAGCCAGGATCCTTTTCAGTACTCACATTAAAAAACATGATCTCATTCATTAAGGGCTTAGCATGCCTCTCTTTCTCTCTATTGATCAAAATTTTATAAATCTCGAGGAATTCCTTCCTCTGTGTTTTCATCATGTAGACACCCCTTTTTTGACCAACCTTAAGACTCAGGCGTCATCGATTGAGCGCTCGGTGATAGTGCATATTGTGCTCGTTTCGAGTTTTTAGAGTTTTGGTCGAGTGCCTTGCCTCCGGGCCTCTGAACTCTCTATGCTTTGGCTCAATTTGCAGACCAAGCCATGTTTTCCTTGCCTGAGGGAAGGAGAGGTCTTGTAAACCCCTTTTTGTGGTCATAGACCACTTTTCCCGCTTGGAGACTAGTTTTCGAATTTTGGAGCCTTCGGCCCCGCGCCTTGTCTCGGGACCGCTTAACATTCTTCGTTTGGCATGGTTTTTGAACCACACCTTGTTTCCTTAGCTTAGAGGGCCACTGTGGTTTGGGAGACCACTTTTGTGGTCGTGAACCACTTTTGGTGCTTGTCAGCTAGTTTTCGAGGCTCCCGGCTGCACGCTTTGCCTCCTGAACTTTTGTCTTGCATTCGTTTTGGTTTGTTTTTGGTACAAACCTTGTTTTCCTTGTTTGGAAGGTGGTACAAGGGTGGGAGACCAATTTCTCTCCCCGCAAATCACTTTCCTTCCTGCTAGCTGGTTTTCTGGTCTGACAACTGGTCTCCTTGGTCTTTGGACCATCAAAAGTGGTCGGCCATCACACCATTTGCTTGTTTTCATGCTTCTGACCATCTCCCACCATGGCCGACCAATTGTCTTTTTGGGAGACCACTTAAAGTGGTCGGTTGACCACTTAAAGTAGCTGGTCGACCACTTCAAGTGGTCGGCTGTTTTTTGTCACCTTTTTGGAGATATTTTTGGCCAGCTGGCACAGCTGGAGAGCACAAGAGCCATCCTCCATACACGTGTATGGAGGGATGGCCTTGAAGCTTAGCTTCCTTGAGAAGCTTTAGCTTTTGTTCTCTATAAGAGGGAGGCTCCTCCTTCCTCCTCCAGGTTCAGAAATTGATGGTTTGAGTTATACATACACACTTGTATCTATATCGATCTTTTGCTCTTGTTTTGTGCCTTAAAGTGTCATTTTGTCTCACTTTTGCACACAAACACACACTCAAACACCATCCTTTTGTTGCTGAGGTACTTAGGAGCTGGTTTTGGTGTTCTTGGGTTGGTTTGAGCTTGAAAAACCTGCTGGAGTTACAGCTTTAAAGGTGGTCTTCTGAGTACGTTATGACCCCTTCGAGAGGTAAATCGGAGGTTACAGTTGAGTTGCTCTCTTTAAGGCTTGTGCTTCTTTACTCAGCATTTTGTTTCAAACATGCTTTTGAAGTTACATTTTTCTTGCATTTGTTATACACACCACTTGTTGCATTGTTGTGCACTTTATTTGCATTGTCGCGCACGTTTACCTTGCATTATTATACACCTACTTCACTCGCGTTGTCACGCACTTTTCACTTTGCTTACGTTGTTGCGCACTTTTCACTTGCATTGTTATGCTCGTTCCGGTTGCATTGTTATGCACTTTTCACTTGCATTGCTATGCATGTTTCCATCGGCATTGTGTATGCACACGTTTATCTCGCATTGGAATTATACCATGTTATAACATGGGACATATGTTTCTAACTATGTTGTACCTGTTGAGTTTATTTCCTTTGCAGGCACGATATTGTATGTATGGTTCATTTGAAGCAGGTGCGACCAGACGAACCAGACAATATTGTATGTACGGTTCATTTGAAGCTGGCGCGACCAGACGAACCAAACGATATTGTATCTACTCCGCGTGAGACATAGCAAGAATTGTATAATTCTCTTACATCCTTTCTACATGTAATGTAGTTTGATTTGTATTCGCTTGCTTAAACTATTGCATTTATTGTGTATATTTGCTTCGTTACAGCTTTCTTTGCATGATCATAAGTTATGACCG